AAAGTTTTCTCTGTAAATACACTGTAAGATGTAAACAGAGTGGTTTGGTGTGAAATGCCTTTCAATAAAGGCATACGAAGTCAGAACTGTTTACAGTGGTGCTGATGGGAACCAGACATCTGAAGAATTTAATGCTCTAAAAACTAGCTCACAGAAAACGGTTACATGAAATGGCCATGAATGTGCTGCCTGACGCCTTATACATTGTCTCTGATCTGTTGTAAAACAAAGTTTTGGTCTAAAACACTTTAATACATTCACGGTAGAGAAATGCATGCAGGGCACAGTAATGCAAAATAGTACGCAAACAAAACTTATTTTTTAGGTCGGTCTCTATTTTATCATTATCACGTTAAAAATTGAGAAATGAGTAGGTTCACTGGTGGTTTTGGATAGTACATAAATACCTATATTTTTGTTGCAGACATTGCAACCTCTGGTTACCATCACCACCACTGTGAAGAGAAATCAGTATGTTTTTCTACAATGTACCCCACATAATTTTACATCAAAACACTCAGAATGACTTTACATGTCAACAAATGAATTTCGCTGACATTTTTAAACATCTGTGGAATTCCCTTTTAACAGTGATATAGATCAGTGGGCCCTAATGCCCTGTCAAACAAGAGTTACAGGCATCTATCAAAGGTATCAAGTGTGGAAATGTGATGTGACTCATAAGATTACAGTAATATACAGAAGTTTTTAAGACACAAATGAGTTGCATATCCATGTACGGATGTTAATGTTCATCCAGCAATGCATTTACCAAAAATCACACAGTTCACGTCCATCTTGCTCAAGAGATGAGGTTGGAAATCCTGAGCACTGGCTGGCAAATGCATAAAATTGCATAATAAACCATAACATTTTTAGTTTAATGCCATCTACAATTCCTGGCATGTTCCAGGGCCCCTGTATAGCTCTTGCACCCCTCAACCATTCAAGCCTTCCCCCCATCTATATGGTGCCCAAAAAGAGCTGCAAATAAACTCCTTCAAAGAACATCAAAGGGGAACTCCACAGATTTTTCAAAATTTCTGCTTAATTAAATGGTGAAAGATGTAAACAAAGTCATTAAGAGTATTTCGGAGTAAGGTGCTTTGTTCTAGAGAAACATACCGAGTCTGAATTGTTTAAAGTGGTGGTGATAGGAACCAGACGTCTGAAGTGTTCAATGCCTCTAAAAGCTCCATCACAGAAAGCTATTACATGAAATGGTTATGAATACTCAGCCTGATGTCTGAGAACATTTTACAGTAGTTCTGTGATAAAGTTTTAGTCTAAAACGTATCTTAAATAACTGATTTTAATCCATTTATGGTGGAGGGATACATTAAGGGCGTTCTAAGGCAAAATAGTCCCCCAAAAAAAGACTTATGTTTTCAGAAAAGTATTTTACCATCATCAACCCTGGTTATGGATAGTAAATAAAATGGCTATATTTTTGTAGTAGACCCCTGGTTCCCCTGGATCACCACAACAGTGAAGAAATCGGAGTCTGTACGTTTCTCGACAATAAATAATTTCACACCAAACCACTATGCAAGACTTTATTTACCTTATATCTCAACGACTGAATTATACAGAAATGTTAAAAACCAGTGGAATTACCTTTTAAATGTACAATGTGCTTTAACGCCAGTTGCATATCAACTCCACGCAAATGCAATAAGTTATTTATTAAGCTCAGAAAAAAAGTCGGAACTACACAAAGGCTATAAAAGTCACGTCCATCTTACCGGTATCTTGGCGAAACTGGTGCATGGACTGCAGATCGATGATGTACGGTGACAGTCTGGAGTCGACCTGGCCCAGCACCACGCTGCCGGCGCCCCGGGGGTCGCTGCGGATCACCGCCTCGATGTGGTGGGACACGGCCGGGCTGTAGGGCCGCCAGCGCCCGTGCTCGTTCAGCCATTCCCATACGACCACGGCCGACGCCAGCAACATCGCACACCTGCGAGAAAACAACACAAAACAGAACCATCGCTCGGGCTGCGTTTAGTGACGCCACCATTATTAGCTAAATCTACAGCGGCTAAACAATCCGCCAAAGCACTTTCACCACATCCACATTACATTTCTCAGCGGAGCCGCTCGGTTCCTATTCAGTCCTGCTGCAGCAGCGGCTCTTCACCGAGATACAAACCACACACCAGTGCAGCTGGATTGAAACCACACAGCTCGGTGTTACCAAGTCAAAAGTGCACAAATCTAACGAGATATGGTTTAGAAAGCTGTTGGGAAAACATTAAATCATTTAGCCAGCTAGCTAAGCAAGCCTGGCATTTTAACTGCTACCCTGAGGTAACATTAGGGTTAGCAAGCTAGCTGGCTAACAAAGCATTCGTCACAAAATGCGCCGTTTTCAAAATAAAATGTCGGTTAATCCGACCATCGTGATCGCGAACAACTAGCTTAATGTCTTGTGTTTTAGAAAATAAAAGGCTGACAGTTTGCCAGTATCTGTCGTTTGCACGCAAGTTAACCATACAGAGTGAAATATGCAGCTAGCCAGCCTAGCCAGCTCTCGCCTTTGAGGATTTTCATATCGGTGAGCAGTTTAGCTAAACAGAAAGACACACGGCTAGCAGATACCAACAAAAAGAGAAAAAAACTTACCAAAAAGACTTCTTCCTTCTGCACTCAGAACGAATGCGAGGGTGAATCCTTTGGCACATACATCTTTAGTTCACCGCTCGGCGAAAGCTGCTGTACCCCAGCGACGCCTGTCTGGATAGTTTTCCTGCGAAATCAACTCACTGAAGTGTCTTCATCAAATACTCAGGCAGAGTTTACTCGGCAACACAGCGCATAACAGCAGCTCCTGAAGGACGACACACGTCCAGCCAGCTGCTAAACGGCGGTTTCTAATCGCACCAATGTTACAGTCTTTCTGTCTACTTAAAAATCTAGTGTTTTAGCCTGATGGTGATGATGGACTCCTGCTTGTTTTCGTGCATTTCTCCAGTTTCCACGCCCAAACACGACAAAGGGGCCAATCGCCCTTCCCCACTTCTACAGTCTCCGCCCTCCAGCCTGAACAGTTCTGTGCAAACGTCCAGGCGTTGCTTGATGGCGTTAAAATACATTTGCATGCATTTTCACATTTGAGATGGTTGATCATAATGTACAGCGAAGTAGATTTCATGATTACCTACTGTTTCACACCAGCAATAAACACGGCGTTTTTCACGAAAACGTCGTGGAGATGCCGGGGATTGAACCCGGGACCTCATACATGCGAAGCATGCGCTCTACCACTGAGCTACATCCCCTACGAGCACGTCATGCCACCCTGGGCCATGTATACCTCGCACAACACCCTTCAGGTCCGGTCACATTTGTTAAAGCATTGTTTGTTCACAGTATTTGTGTTTTATTCTTCACACGTCTTTAAATACAAAATCGCTTTTCAAAAATCCAGTCAAAGTGTTTGTAAATGTGAGTGTTTCAGTGAATGGGCGGACCGAAATAACTGAAGTTAACCTTAGCTACCCTAGATAGCGTTCGCTAGCTAAATTACTAATTAACTAGGATTCAGGCTCCAGAATAGATATCCTGGGAGTGACCACTCGTCCTTTACAGCCTTGTATTTGCATGTTTTTTTTTGTTTTTTTTTAACATATTTCTTAAATACAGAATTATGTTTTCAAAATGTCGGCAAGGTAACGTTACGAGTAAAGCTTCGGGAAATCAGCTGGCTGAATGTTAACATTAAAGGGGAATTCCGTCTATATTTCAAATTTTTCCCAACTTTCAAAAATATTTCAGCAGAACTAAATAGATCTGAATAAAGCCATTCAGAGCTGATGTGAAATATGCAATTCTAGGGAAACCTGCGGAGTCACACTGCTAGCTCACAGTGATGGTGATAGGAACCAGACGGCTGAAGCGTTAGCTAATGCTGCTAAGAACTACAGAAACTCATGAAATGGGTACTAACACGTAACCTGGTCTTTAAGATTTTGAGATAAGTTTTTGGCCTTATTGTATTGTTTTTAAACCCCTCCATGGCTGAGTGTTACATGCAGGATATTTACCACTATTTTAGCATTTTCAACACTGCATATAAAAACTCAGAAGACACGTGTAAGCTCACTGGTCATTTTAGATGGTAAATAATGCTTATATTTGAATGGCAGGCCTCATGACCCCTGGTTCCTATCACCACCACTGCAAAGAAAAAAACAAGTTGGTGCGTTTTGCTACAATGAATAATTTCATATCAAAACACTGAATGACTTAACCACTCAATTACTCAACCACTGAATTATGAGGAAAGTGGAAACACCCATTAATGTACCCAAATTTAAGCTCCAAGCTAGCTAAGCTGGATTTCTACTGCATTGTTTTTTTTTTTGTTTTTTATGTTTCTTTAAAAAAAACAATCAATTGGTTCTGTTTTTTAAAGTGAAATATAAAAACAGTCACACCTTGTTTTGATGTCCTCCCTATTGATCATCTGTAGATACTTAAATTATTAATAAAATATCTTGTACTACTCAGTTGATTATCCACAACATTAGAGTAAGGGTTAGGTTGAGGTTTTAGGTTTTGTGTTGAAGTTTAGGGTTAGATTTAATAATATCTATTACAATAACCTGAAGTTCACTTATATTTATTAGATATTTGGTTGAATGCTTGTTGAAGCCTGAGCCTCTAAGTATCTAGGACTTTATCAGAGGACTTTCAGTATCAGAGGACTTTCAAAATAAAGTGTAAATAAACAAACCATTTGGTCTTCAAAATCACATCAAGAACTAGTAAATCTGAGTATGTCAGTGTTCTAGCCCACTAGAGCTTGCTGTGTGACAAGTAAAGCATGCTACTGTCTTTGTGTGCTTGTTACCATGGAGGCTCCACTGCAAAACCACATGCAGAAGCTGGTAAACCAGTACAGGCTCAAATTAGCAGCTAGCTAGTGGAAACATTGTTGGCTAACAAGACGCCTATTTTGCTATACAAAAAAGAAAGTCGTCATAGCCTTTATGAATTTATGGAAAGCCAGTTTATTATTGTATTTATTTTAAAGAAAATGTACAGTTCTTTTGAAATTAACCTATAACTAATAACTAATAACCTAATAATCTTCATTGAAAATCAGCATTTACAAAAGCTATTAATATAAAAAAAGATGAAGTTCAGAGTAGCAGAGCCACATTAAAGGGGAATTCCATCTATTTTTCAATACCGCTGCATAATTCAGTGGTCAAAATGTAAGCAAAGTCATTCAGAGTGGATTGATGTGAAACGCTCCATTCTAGAGAAACTTGCAGGCTCTGTTTTCTTTACAGTGGTGGTGAAAGGAACCAGGGGTCATGATGTCTTCAACACAAATATAGCCATTTTATTTAACACCACCAGTGAACCTACACGCATCTTCTTAATTTTTATTTGGACTGTTCATAATGATGAAACAGCTTAATAAGATTTCTTTCTGTACTATTTTGTCTCACAGTGCCCTGCATGTGCCTCTCTGCTGTGACTGTATTAAAAAATGATGTTTTAGGCCACACATTTACTACCATAACATAACGTCTCAGGTATCAAGCAGAATTTTCATAACCCTTTCATGTAATTTCTTTCTGTGAAGGAGCTTTTAGAGGCGTTAAACTTCAGATGGAACATTTCACACAGAACCACTCTGATTGACTTTGTTTACATCTTTATGATGTACAATGACATTTTGCGACACTGATGAAATTCCCCTTTAAGGACACATTCGTTTTCCATGCAAAATCTACACCATCAGCTTCAGTTCTAGAGTTTCTCTTCATCTGCCTCATATTAAGGCCACATCAGATTTTTTGGGGTTTTTTTTCACAAAGCTGTAACATTACTCTCCTCTGTCTTCTCCTCAGACCAAATGGCACTGCCAGAAAAAGGCTTAATGTTTACAAGCAAGCCCACTCTCTCCTCATCCTTCACCTCTTCCTCTTGTTTATGTCCGTCTTCTTTTTCTTCATTCTTTGACTCTGTTTTCTGTTCTTCATCTTTCTTCAGCTCCTCTGTGCTATTATTCTGCTTCACTCTCTCCTTTAGGTCAATACTGGAGTAGTCGTCCGACGAGTCGTCCTTGTCTTCTTCCTCATTCTCGTCTGCACTGGTCTCATTTTGACAGGTCCCTTCTCTCTCTTCCTCCCCTTCTTCTCCATCTTCGTCATTGCCATCTTCAATATCGCCTATGGCCTCCTCCTCTTCGCGGTTCTGGGGCAGAAAGCGGGCAGTTAAGGTGGTCACGACTTCAACCCCCTGTACCACACGATCGCGAAGGCCTCCTTCACCATAGACGAAACGCTGGACAGTGTACTGATTATTTGTGATATGGTTCAACCGCTTGTAGAGATAGATGAGGATCAGGACGAGCAGCACCCAGAGGAAGAAGAGAGTCAAAACTACTGGAGTGCTGCTTGAGCCTTCCTGCGACCCTGTCATGGTCACTGAGGAAGAGAGAGACAGTGAAAGTGATGCTTTTATAGTACCTCCTTGTAAAAAAATGTTGGAAGTCATCTCCCTAGAAAAACTGGCATCCCCTTTACACCCCCTCTGGATTAAAGCACCCATATTGTACATTTTTTTTTTGTGTTTTATTTTTTTTCCTGAGGCCCACTTATGGCGTTTGTATGAGTTGCACCAAACACCAAAAAAAGCCATAATTCATTTTGACATGAACATTTTCCAACCTTTGTTTATCCCTCAGAATTAAGCAGGCTGTTTTTGTTACTGTGCCTTTAAAACAATAATACAATATACAATCATACGCACATATACATATGAACACTCTGGTCAAATTACATTTGTTGATTTTCCAAGTTAAAGTAAGTTAACTTATCCTCAACACAAAACTTGAATATTGCATTTTTCTGACAATTTTAGAGCACAATTTCATTGTTTAACATATTGGAAAATTACTTTTGCACAGGCCTTATGTTTTATTTTTTCCTGATATGTTAAATTTAGCAAATAAACAGTAATAGTGCATTAAAATGAACAGAATTGTGTTCTCTGTGGAACTTATTTTCACTTAGAGAATCAACAGAATATGTAATTTGATCGGGGCGTGCGCCCAAACCTTTGCAAATCGTTTCATGTAAATGAGCTGTGTTCTGATCAGATGGCCTGAATTGCAACACCTTCAAAAAGCACTCAGGGCTGAAACGCTCATATAACTTCAGCATGAATGGGTGGGGATAAACTGAATAGGCTGATAAATGTAAGTCAATGATATGGGCCCTTTAACCCTGCTTTACTCCCTGATAACCATTCCATAAGCTTTGTGATGGACCCTGAGATATCAGCTGTAGATGTTAAAATTCCATCCATACTGAGATTCACGCTCCAGTTTTGGACCAAAAGTTTTTCATGGTAATGTTACGATTAGTGCATTAATGACTGAAAAAGAGCAGGTTGTATTGAAAATGCCATAATTAATAGTTAACTGAATTCAAATTAGCTGAAAGAGGGGCTTATGTTGAAATGGGAGTCATTATTGGTTTAGAAGGAAGAAAATGTTAAAAAAAAGACTATATTTTGTTCTGTTTGAGTTTACTCAGTGTAATCACAGGGATATATCTTTTTTTCTAGAGTTAAAGGGCCCATATGCTATGTTTTTTGGTGTTTTATTTTTCCCTCCTGAGTAACATTTGCATGTTTTTATGAACCAAAACCAGTCATAATTCATTTTTACATGACCATTTTTCAACCTCTCTTTAGTTATTAGTTTTGTTTTTGTCATTAGTTTTTGTTGCTGTGCCTTTAAGACTGATATATGTAAACGCGCTCGGTTTGGACTGGTTGGCTTTGGACCAATTCTATTGGTCCATTCATCATGAAATTTGAAGACAATGCAGAGCGTAATTAGAGTTTTCAAATTCCGCAAAAAAGTGAGAAACAACAGCGTGACAGTGATATGTAAATGTGAAGCTTTCTGTGACGTCACAAAAACAATTCATTCAAAATGGACTGTTTTTAAAGCTTACTTTCCAAATATGGACTGTATGGATTGTGGAGTGAATGGTGTGTTTACAAAGTTTAATGTTGTTTACATACTACACTGTATTTTATTTCAAAAAATGAGATTTTTTTCATCAGGTGTGCCTTGAACCCACCACCCCCCCGCTGACACTTTTTTTACAGTTCGACCACTGTGTACAAGGACTATTTATTATACGTACCTGTGAATGAAGGTGAATTATTTCACCTGAGACAATCCAGCTACTTCTGTCACATAGATTATGAGATGCTGAGGAAAGAAATAGTGCACCTTACTATAAGTAAGTACTCTGTATTTGCTTAGAAATGAAGCTATATGTTAACACCTTCACTAACACCTTCACACAGGAAACGCCTGTGCAACGTTTCTTTGACACCATCATAGTCTGCTGGTTTATCGTGTTTTTATGTCTTTTTTCTTTTCTTGCTTCTTTCCGTATCTTGACAGTTTATCAACCTAACACTGGAAATTTAACTTTCACTGTCAACTGAGACTTACAATGCTAGTGATCATATTCTAACTTATATGTTATGGATGTTGTGGCAGATTTAACAGCAGATTCTTTAGAGGGTAAATCCTACAATGGCGCGAACAGAAACTCACATTTACTGAACATAAAATATTTCATTCCTTTAATTCCATTTCTTTTCATTGCTTTACATTATGATGTGGTGACATGAATAATAGAAGTCAATGTATATCCATATAAAACATACATGAACATTGCTAGATATTAACAACGTTTCGTTACATACTCATGCTGTGCTTCTGTTTCGTTACATACTAATTACTGAGACAGAAGCACAGCATGAGTCTCTAAGGTTGTTATTGACAAGATTGACTGTTAGTAATATTATCAAAGAGGTAAGAAACAAGATGAGAAGTACATTAAAGCTGTATCTTCTGATAGAATAGTTCTGCCTTAATCTCGAAGATGACAGAGACTTAATAGAGCAGGACCAAGTTTACATCATATAAGCGATGAATTGTACACACATAATTAAGAATACGGTCTTAGAATGGCTAAAGTCGAGCATTGCTTACCGTTGCTTCTTTCTTCTTAAACTTCAATGAGCCGTGAAGAGAAAAGGCGTTTTGCGCAGAAGGAAAAAGAAGAAGAAAAAGTGGGTGGAGGAAATGTGAAGCTCAAAGCGAGCAAACTACCCATCTTACTCTGTCTTGGTTTAAGAACAGAAAGATAAGTAGACAAGACAAGTATGTGTGATGACATATGTGTGACTAGAATTAGTATGTCTTTTCAAGGTTTTTAGGATTTTTAGTTTTTTCGGGTTGTTGGAACCACATGCATGACTCAATGTGACTCAATCAACTATATGAGTAGCAAGGTTGAGGAAATCAAAAATAGATCTTTAAATACATATACAGTATATAAATAGAATATATATATAGATTAAAAATAGATTATACAGTATATAAACAGATCTGCATCTATAAACCTGTATTATATACATAAACTCATAGTTACATAGTAACATTAAGAGGGAGTAAAATTTCACATGGATTTAACCTCTAAAAAATATCGAAAACCACAGGCTGTTTTAGTCCAAGAGAATATAGGTCAAGACTATAGGTCATGACTATAGGCGATTTACACTACAGTTTAACAGCTACTTGAGTGTAAGAGAATTTTAGAGTGCGCCTTTAGGAACTGAAACTACTTGCAAATAGTTGCTCAAACAGCACAGCTTTGGGTCTTTATACAGGAAGGATTTGGTGGAACCCTTTAGTGAGCGATAGCATGCTTGAGTACTAGCCCCTCAAATACCACATCCTGTTGTGAGCATTTGAAGATTCAAACCTAAACCTGCTCTTTGCACCAGCAAAATTAGAACTCACTGTGAAATGCACAGCTTGTTTGAGTGTTTGCATGCTTAAGATACAGTTAGTGATTCCACAGTTATTTGCAGTTGTTTTCAAACAGATAATGATATTCTTTTAGTCTGCACAGGTCATTACTCATTAACTGTACTTTTACAGAACACTGTTTGTTACCATACTTTTCTTTTTGAATAATTTTGACTGAAGGTTGAAGAACATGTCAAGGCAAACAGCTGTTTGTTTAGCTAAAATTAGCCATTACTTACCAGCAGAGAGATACAATCAGTCAGCATTAAGTCACATGGGTCATAGAAATAGAGGAAGCACACACACATCTGGTTTTTATTTGATATGCCCGCCATATTCTACACACACACACACACACACACACACACACACACATATTGAGGGTACTTTATGTCACCAAAAAAGCCAGGCCTGAACAAAAGAACTAACACATAAGAATAACTAAATATACTGTACCTAAACTGGCACTTGACAAAGATACAATATTTATTATAAAAAAGTCAAATGCGAAGTCAATGTTCAGCCTCTGTGAGAGTGTGCTTTTGTTGTTGAACTGCATTTCCCATGATCCTCCACTAAATTGGCACTTGACAAAGATGCAATATCTAAAATAAAAGAATCAAATGCACAGTATAAACCACAGTATTCAATGTTCAGTCTTTGTGAAAGGGTACCTTAGTTGCTGAACTGCATTTCCCATGATCCTCCACTGCAATGTAGGACTTATCGACATTGGAGTAAAGACATGGGTTTGCTGGGATACGTATGCAGTTACATATTGAACCAAATTTTCCTGATAAAGATACAGTATGTAAATGTAAAAAAAAACAACATAATTGTAGCGTAGTCAAGAATTTATAAAGAATTAATAAGTTCTTTTTAATAAATAACAACGTGGTTCTTAACATTGTATGACAAATTGTTATCAATAAAAAAATATAAATTATGCTAAAAATCTTATGTTGTTAACTGATCTTAGCTGGTTTCAGATAGTCTAAGCTGGTCTCTGATGGTTATTAACTAGATTCTTGCTTGTCTCAAGGCTCAAGGCAGTTGACCAGCTGGACATCCAGCTGGATTAGGCTGATAGACCAGCCTGGGCATGCTAGGCATGCTGTTAGCCTAGCTTGGTCACACTGGTGAACCAGCTAAACCATCAAACTTAAAGGAAACATACTCTGTGCTGGTAAGTCGGTCTACCACCCTGACCAACCTGTGGACAAAATTCAGGCCATGGGACATACTTTTGTCCACTTTTGCTGTTACCAGTATCTTATACAGTATCAGAAACCACTTAAGTAAGTGTAGATTGTATTTTACAGTCCTGGAAACCACACGGTCAAGACTTGTTTACTTGACAGTGTGGTTCAAGGCAAGGGTGTGATGTTTTGGGCATGACTTATTAGCTACAAACAGGGCGACAAATTAAAGGAACAACCAACATGAAGTGTTTGGCCACCACAAGCCACCAGAACAGCTTCAGTGCCTTGCTATAGATTCTAGTCTGTGGAAGTGTAGTGAAGGAGTAGAACATAATTCTTCCAAAAGATATTCTTTGAGTTGGTGTTTTGATGATTGGGTTGAGATCTGGTGAGTGCGAAGGCCATATGATTCACATCATTTTCATACTCATCAAACCATTCAGTGACCCCTCATGCCCTGTGGGGGGGCATGCTGTAATCCTGGATGAGACCACACCCATTGTGGATAGAAATATTTCATCATAGGACAAATGTGATAAGTCAGAATAACTTTGTATTGATTCTTTCCTCTAGGGAAACACATCGACGCAAGCCATGGCAGCAAAATGCCCTCCAGCTCTGGAGCTGCAGGCAGTCGTGGGCCCTATGAGTCTAGTTAAAAATCCATCAAGTCAATATAACGCAACACAACACAATGTCCCCTCTCAACTGATGTACACAAATTACAACAGATTTACTTAGCATGCACTTAGGTAGTCAAATGGGTAGCAATAAGCAGAACTGATGATTGACGTTATTGAACACCAGACTATACGCAGCATCCAAAAATCAGTTTTTAATAAAGGAGCACACATCAACAGTCAGCAACCTCCGGCACACTCATCAGTTCTTTATTACTACATTACCCTAAACCCAGAACCAGACAACAAAGGCTGTAGTCGATCACACTAGGTTTGAAAATTGCACCAAGAAGGCAGCCAATTTAAAGTGCTAATTGTCTTTTTCTCATCTCAGTTAACATTACTAGCCAAGTCACATTTCACCTTATACGTTTTAGCTCAAAAACAGTGAGTTTGTACAGAGTCAGCTACCGAATGTGATACATTTACTATATCACATTTGCAAAAACTGTATTCTCTGAAAACCATATGAGAAAAGTAAGTTAGAATATACAATGTTAAAAAACTTGAACTTGATCTTCTATATGCTACAGTTGCACTTTGTATAATCTGCTGTGCAAAACTGCAGATTATACAAAGTGTGCAGTAGAGTTTAATCTGTAAAACCATTAACATCACCAAAACAACCCAGGTCTACTACAAGCTATAATCCAGAGTCTGATCATCTCATAACACACAGTGCAAATGATCCCTTTTTCCCTGTAGGGGTTCATTCCCTTAGTGGCATCTGGCAGCAAGAAGTGGCTACCATGCTATCCTGAAATAGCATGTAAAGTGGCCAACCAGAGGCGCCGAACTGCTTAAGTCCAGATAAACCTGAGCATTAAACTGCCCAAGTCCACAGCACATCAAGTCCACCAGACCCCCTTACTGTAGGAGTCAAGTATTCAGGCTTGTGCCATGCTACTTTCATATTGCCATGAGGGATATATGTTCTGCAACCCTACTATAATATCACTTTTTATGGTGTTTAGGATTGACTGTTCTTGCTGACAGATTCTGATCATGTCCTGCAGTGACATTCTTAGTCACATGAGAAACAGTTGCTCCTCTGTTATTAGAGCATGGAAGGATGTTAATTGCTTAATTGTATCATGCAGTACGCTTGTCTGGAAGCATCTGTACTCATTATGTTTCTACACTCTTTTATTCAGGGTGTGCCCCACCCGTCTGTACATACACAGCAAGAACTTTATCTTTATCAAACTTTATCTTGTGGTCAGTCAACAAAAGAAGTGTGAAGACTGATGTGCAGATATCGCCAAATAGTTTAACTCTGCTAAATAACCAAAGTTAATGTGCAACAGAGTAAGTCTATAAATTTGTTGAGATATGTTTGCTAGCTACTTTATAAGTACAGCGCTTGCTTTTTATTTTTTGACAAATGCAGCAACAAAATACTCTGAAGTCCAAATATGTATGGACCTGACGGTAAATCACACTAACCCGTGAGGTCCTTAAACCTACTGTATGTTTACAGTTTTACAATACCACTCTGAGCAAATTGTTCGACACAATAATGCTTCCATTCTGTGGGAGTTACACAGTGATGAAGATGCAACCAGTGAACAGCAAACCACACAGGGTCACAGAGGTGTCAGTGGTTAGTACATTTCTGGCTTTTATTTAAAAAGTCATCGCTTACAGAATTGCAAGAAAACACTTATGTTACTTTATAAGACATCCAAGTCGAATGCAAATCAATAACAGAGCTGATGTTTTGAATAAATCCAGCCAATCAGCAGTCACGAGTATGAAAGATATATACATTGTGCAGATGGGTGGAGGGTAAATGAACAAAAACTCTCAAAAGCGGCCAACCAGAGGCGCCGAACTGCTTAAGTCCAGATAAACCTGAGCATTAAACTGCCCAAGTCCACAGCACATCAAGTCCACCAGACCCCCTTACTGTAGGAGTCAAGCATTCAGGCTTGTGCCATGCTACTTTCATATTGCCATGAGGGATATATGTTCTGCAACCCTACTATAATATCACTTTTTATGGTGTTTAGGATTGACTGTTCTTGCTGACAGATTCTGATCATGTCCTGCAGTGACATTCTTAGTCACATGAGAAACAGTTGCTCCTCTGTTATTAGAGCATGGAAGGATGTTAATTGCTTAATTGTATCATGCAGTACGCTTGTCTGGAAGCATCTGTACTCATTATGTTTCTACACTCTTTTATTCAGGGTGTGCCCCACCCGTCTGTACATACACAGCAAGAACTTTATCTTTATCAAACTTTATCTTGTGGTCAGTCAACAAAAGAAGTGTGAAAACTGATGTGCTGATATCGCCAAATAGTTTAACTCTGCTAAATAACCAAAGTTAATGTGCAACAGAGTAAGTCTATAAATTTG